TTACAAGTTCCAAGTTAAGCACAAAATGAATTTTTTGAAAGTACTGTAAATTGCCATGTCACAAACTGCTGGTCTCACCCTGGGTGAGGGATTTACTCAAACTGCAAACTAAGGTAGCAACTTTCATTGTAGTTTGAAATTAACTCAATGCCGATTCTTCCTAACTCCAAAATTTAAAGATCGCTTTGCCATTCTCCTTTAATGTTACTCATCCCTCCCAGACTCCAAACCTGGAGCAAATGGGGAGAAGCATTCATACTCAAACACCACTTAAGGATTTTGGTTTGTAATCTGGAGGAAAAGTGACCCTAGTGAACCTTTCCTGTGGAATCCCATTTTGTGACATTATACAATGTACTTTTATATAGTTTATCAAAACTAATGCTCAAACCAAAGACCTCTAAGGATCAGTTATTTCAGCAAAATTGGGAAAGGAAAAATAAATGTGGGTTACATTGTGAATTCAATGTGAATGTGAATATTAATACTTCAATTTAAAGGACTGTGACTACACGAGATTCTGCGGAACTGACTTTTATCAAAATCCTTATGTAGCATCTAGTAGAACAAATAGAACAAGATTTACAGACCGCAAATTAAATCTCTGTTATATATGCCTGTCAATTAAATATTAATGGTCTTATAAACAGTCATAAATACTGTGTATATCAAAAGTCTACACACCCTTATTGAAATTTCAGTTTTTGTTGATGTAAAGCTAAAATCAAGACAAATTGTGTCAGATGTTTTATCACCTTTATTTAGATATTGTGACCATCAGTATTTAAGTGAAAAACAATGCCTTGAAAGTCATCAAGGGTGTGCCATCAATAACGGTGTGCAGACTTTTGAAATCCACTGTATATGACATAACCTTCACCCCCACATTAAAATACATTTGACAAATATTTACTTGTCAAGTTTTTTTTTAAGAGCACATTTGTGGGAATTTGTCCGTGTAGTCGCTGTGTGTCAGGCCATTGAGGCTCAGAGCTTCCTGCTGCAGACTCTGCCCTCTTCCAGGTGCCCACCCAGAGGGAGGAGACAGAGCTGCTCCTGACCCTGCCCCCTGACAGGATTGGCCACGGCACCTTCCTGCACCCGGAGGTGGGCGGGTCCCAAGCGCTGGTGGACGCGGTGAGACAGGGCAACATCCCCCTGGGTGAGATGGTGAAGCTCCACTCTTAATCATTCAGCACAGTTAGAAATAGGTGGGAGCCCCCCCAAAGGGATTCCAGCTCTCAGTAGGCCAGTCAGGTTTTAAATGGATTTGTCCTTCTGGCACCTCACTAAACGACACCTATATTATGGTTAAGCATACAATTCAATTGTGGTAATTTGGCATTTGTGGCCAGTTCTGGTCGGAAGTGGCTGAATCCCTGTGACAGCTATGAACAGAGGTATTCTGTGAGAGCCAGACTACAGCAGTCAGCAGCCTCTCAACCTCACCAGTACCTGCCGTGACTCCTAGCATTTGTTGGTACGCAGGTATAGATGTTTATCTAGAAAAACTGGTTTTAAAACTCTGGTTTTAAACAGTGGACAAATTGACAGAATTTTCAAGTTCAAAGTACAGTTCATTACATTCTCAGACACAGCTGTTGACTGGTTTTGTATTGTCTTTAGGTAATTTAAAAATACAAATGAGGTATCTTAGTTCAGCTATTTTCTTGGTCTGTAGCAATTTAAGTACAATAATTTGATAGTTTCTACAAAAGTTACTGGATTCCAGTCTGTTGGTGGTGGATGTTAGTGTTAGTTAAAAAAAAAACAACATAACTTTACTTTCCTGTTACTCACTTTCTTAAAAGTACAAATAAATTAATCTTAGTTTTATTTTATGTGTGTGATTAAAATGGGAGCAGAAATGATCTGTGAACTTTTTAAGCTTCATCAGTCACTACACAAGACAGAGACTGTCAGAGGTGTTTCTGTTGAAGGCAAACTCACCAGCACTATAAGGGCTATAGTCACTGACCTGTTACTCAGCCGAGCTGGAATGCTAATCCTCTCTGTTCTTCAGAACTGTGCCTGACCTCCAATGTCAAGGGCCAGACCGTCCCTTCTTATGAGAAGCATCACTTTCAGTACTGGTACCGCCTGGGCCACCCCTGCGTCTTGTGTGTAAGTCCTTCAGTCCTGCCCTCTCACCCGGCTCAGCCCAAATGTACTTTCAGTGGTGCTTTTTTATTCATTTAAAAAGACATTTTACAGTTTCATGAAATCACTGCTGCGTCTCATACATCTATTAAAAATAGTTCAGTATAATTTTCAGAGTCTGTAAGTATCAAGACAAAAAGGTGTCTATTTCACAGGTTAGGGGATTTTGTTTTTACGTAACCATAAGAACTGCATTTCTGAGTAAATCTGTCTTATTTGAGTTCCTTGAGCACGAGGGTCTTTTATAAATATCTTCACATCTTCCACTGCTGAACGCCTGGGGAGGGTGTTCAGTTTTTAAATTACGGAAGATATTGACTGAACTAATCACTCACCCCTCCCCAGGCGGATGACAAGGGCGTCTTCGGTACTGACCTGTCCCAGGAGTACCAGCTGGCCGCCTCCACCTTCGGCCTGAGCCAGGAAGCTGTGTGGACGCTGTCAGAACAGGCCATCGGGTGCATCTTTGCCCCGGAGTCCGTCAAGCAGGAACTGAAGCAGAAGTGGGCTGATCTTCGCCCATGTATCCTCAAATGACTGTATTTTTAATACAGAGATTTTTTAAATAGCATTAAACGTTTCTGCACTGTGCTTATTCACATCACAAGTATTAAGGATATTTTTTAATAGTTAAGGGGAAGAAAAAGAAACTGAAGAGTAACATTTTGCTTTCTGTTGTAAATGGGGTGAGTAATGCAGAAGACCCATTGTTTGTTATACTAGTGATCCTACAAACAGTCTAAAACTACGTCATAAGGATCAAATCTCAAACACAGCTAGAATTGCACATAATATACATGTTCTTTCAATCTTGTGCACCACAAAATGTGACAGCAGATTTATACAGGGGGAAGGCAGAGAGGTGTCATGGCCCAGCTGGTTTGGTGCACATTGACTTAACAACCTCATCTTGCTTGAGCAGAGAGCAGAAGCACTGGCATACTGGTCCTTCTCATACATATTGGTGTAGGAGTTTTGTGAATTTATTGGAACAATTTATTAAATGTAGCAGTAACCACGAGGTTATTCTTTTATGGCTATTAAAAAATCAATCAGTCAGCGACACACAAACATGGATTCAATACACAAGATACATTTATTAATACATAAATTGTGCATATAAAACATAACAGTCTGCCTGGATACAGATGGCAATTCTTACTGTGAGGGTTATCAAAATGCAAGGTATATAATCACGAAGAGATGCAAAGAACAAAGAGATACAAAACAAAGAATATACCAAAGGCCACCTGGCTGCTACATCCAATCGCTGCGGTATTCGATTGTTGTCCTATGGCCGGTTCTGGCTCGATGCCATCCAATCCTGTTGCACCTTCGGAGGAGTCGGAAGGAGAGAGGAGGGAGAAATCTCACTGCGGCGCGCAGTGCAGTCGTCTCTCCCAGGACCCTACGAGTAGTTGGGCTGGCTAGTAGAGAATCTCTCTGCACAGAGGGTGACCATGGGTCCGACAAAGTCACTCTTTAGGGGAAAGAAACTTGGTTTGCCTCCTTTTATTAAGCGCCACTGCTGAATAAAAACTTATTCAGATTGTCAGCAGGAGCCAAAATATATACTTTGGTGATCAAGCGAAGTGTCCATGTTGGCTTTTACTAACAATTTGAATTCATACATACAAGCATCCTCTGGCTCGCTCTGGGAACGAAGTTGCATGTCCCACACTTAAACAACAGTGCTGGCAGTCACGTGATTAGGTCTGAGGGAGTGCAAGAGTGGATGGAGGAGCAAAGTTCTGCACTCTTTTTATCTGGAACAAAGACAGGTGTTGGTCTGTGATTAGGTTACCACAGCCTGCAGGTTCCCAATTGGTTGGTTAAGGTAAAAGATGAGTATCAATGATCTCAAATCTAGGACTGCAATCCAGATATTCTCCAGAATCTCATAGACAAATAGTGACCACGAATGGCCATTGATTATGATAGTTTAGGTGGGTAGCTGCATCAGCATGCGTAGGCTGCAAAGGAATAAGTAATAGGTTTATTCCATGCTGAAAAAAAGAAAGAACAACATTTCGGCCGTGGAGCCTTCTTCAGGTATGAGAGACAGAGCCCTGTCTCTCTCACAACTGAAGAAGGCTCCATGGCCGAAACTGTGTTCTTTCTTTTTTTCAGCATGGAATAAACCTATTACTTGTTCCATTGATTATGATAGCCAAGCGTGGCTGGGCACATCCCCATTGGGGAGCTGCTGCTCCTTACCACAGAGCAATTTAAATCAGAAACAAGAACAGCTTCTCTGCGGCTGCACCAGAGAGATGAGGCCTCATTTAGGAAAGCACAGCAACATTTAACTATCTTATTGGCATTGCCCTTACATTGGTAAACTTGTCATCAGTTAGTAATCCATTTATTCTGTCACCATACCTCAGTGCCTACTATACCGAACAAATCTTTCTGCTAAATTAAAACCCAAGATAATTTCACACTGGGAAAAAATGTACCATTTTCTGCTCTCCAAACTGGTAAGAACACAATCTTCATAGTGTGGACTGAGCCAAGGAGAAATAAAGATGCTCGTGAGTCACCCTTTTATAAATGCAATTGTTACCCTGAAATTGCTGCAGTGGTAACCAACCCTGATCCCACAAAACAAGATCACCATCTCTAACAATCAACTGCAACTACTGAGCGGTTGAGGAAAGATTAAAAGGAGTTCAGCCACTTCAGGGTTTCACATTTGGCAATCTCTGAATTTAACAAATTCCTTCCATAATTTTCCATCTTTAGAAATTGATGGCAACTTATACATGCCAGACTAGTGATCTGCTGGACTAGGGTTGAAGCCACCTACCCTATTCAATGAATTGATTACATATCAATTGAAGTGTTTTACTAAACACGCTTACAAAACACCCACTCCCAGCTTGACCAGTTTAAATGCTGGAACTGATTTGGCATATTTTTCTTTTCACTAACCTTATAGCAAGAAAGTAGATAGAGCTGTAGTTGACCAGCTCAGGTACTTGATTGCTATACCCCTCCATGGTAGAGTGTGTGGTAGCTTGTGTTAAGCACTTGAAAGACCAGAACAATAGGAATAGGCCCAGCAGTATAGCACACTACCATTTTAGGCTTAAGAGCTAGTAAAGGCCTCAACTCTGATCTAGAGGATAGGAGGAGAGGTCTTCAATTAAGATCCCTTAATATCAAGTACACTTTAGGAGCCAGCCTAGAGGGGACATGGGAAGGAGCTAGGATCACAATCAGTATGCAAAAACTGGCCAAGGTGCTCCTCGACTATAGGAGCAAATTCTACAGTCGCAAGGTCTGTATAATGACTACACACTAAAGCACACAAAAGTATTGGATAGCCCTCAAATATTGTTGATACCATGTTATTCCACAACCAAGCATATTATTACTACATATGAAGAGTCTGCCACTAATTGATTGGGGACAAATTGAAGATGACATAAGCAAAGGCCCACTTCCTAATCAAAACAATTAGGCACAGCTTTAGAAAGCAACAATAGTGTTAGAGCACACTGTCAATTTGCTTGAAGATTGAGAAAACAGAAGCTAAAATGGTAGCTGCATATTGTGAAGGACTACAGATGTCAACACTACAGACTGATTACTTCCATGTAAAATTTAATTCCCTTTGATTTCCCCAGTTTCATAAAACAGAAGACCCAAATTTACAGGAGTACAGTAGTGCATGTTTCACTTCATGTAATAAAGAGGCATAAATCAAGATGATACTTTATTGATCCCATATGAGAGCATACAAATACAGAAGCTCCAGGGAAAGCTGTTTCAGGGTTCTACGAGGTCACTGCGAAACAAGAAAAGAGGTAGTAAGAAGCCACAGTCACCAGTTTTCAGAATGTTTCACTTATTTGACATGGGCTCAAAGGATTATCCCTTTGAGCATGTAGCTCATTATATTAGTAAACAATAAGGACTAGTTGGTGATCAGAAGCTTTTAAACCCCTACCAGTTTGGGAAATCTCTGGCCCTCCATGGGTCACCATTGACAGTGGTCAGGTCCAGACCGCTGCCACCGAGGTGGCCACAAGCGCCGCACAATTCATTGGCCAACCAGGCCCCCACTGTGACAGTCACCTCCCCCGTCAAGCTGTAGATCACACGCACGCTGGAGGTCTCTACAATCAGCAGGTCATCCAGTTTGTAGAAGGAGAGATTGGCCTCCAAC